ATAGTCCAGTCGTACTGGGAGCTTGGAGGGCGTGGGGTTCTGCGACCCCAGCGACCCCTGCGACCCTAGCAACCCCTGCGACCCCAGCGACCCTAGCAACCCCTGCGACCCCAGCGACCCCAGCGACCCCTGCGACCCCAGCGACCCCAGCGACCCCTGCGACCCCAGCGACCCCAGCGACCCCAGCGACCCATGCTTCCTTCCCCTCAGTGAAACATCCGCCAGTGCAGCTGTCACGATTCATCTCAGCGCCCAGCAAGACTGCAGACAAGATGGGCTTTGACGAGGTGGGCCCGGCCTTCCCTCCCCCACCCCGGAGCGGCAGGCAGCGGTCTGACCTGCGGCTCACTGAGACTTTGGCCACAGGTCTTCATGATCAACCTGAAGCGGAGGCGAGACAGGCGAGAACGCATGCTGCGGGCCCTGCAGGAGCAGGAGATCGACTGCCGGCTGGTAGAGGCTGTGGACGGCAAGTATGTCGCATGCGCATGTGCGTGCATGTGCGTGCGTGTGTGCGTGCATGTGTGCATATGCGTGTATGTGTGCATGTGCCTGCATGTGTGTGTATGTGTGTGCATGTGTGTGTATATGTGTGCATGTGTGTGCGTGTGTGCATGTGTGCTTTGCGTGCATGTGTGCGTATGTGTGTGTGTACCTACATGTATGTGTATGTGTGTGCATGTGTGCTTGTACATACGGAGATATGGAGGGGATGGAGCCAACTCTGGCATATCCTTGGTGCAGCCAGGAAAGCAGGAAGGCTTCTCATCCTCAGACAGGCTGCCAAGTGGGGTGGGGTAGGGTGGGTGGTGGACTCAGACCCAGCTGGGTGGGGGCATTCACAGGCGGGCAGAGGTTGGTCAATAGACAGAGCTGCTTCTGCAGAACCTCTTACCTCACCCCTCCTCATCCCCGTCCTCCTCTCCCTCCTCCCCATCCCCCTTGCTTGTCCCCCATCCTTGCCTTCCCTGCCGTCCTCCTCCCCCTGGACCCGCAGAGCCATGAACACCAGCCAGGTGGAGGCCCTGGGCATCCAGATGCTGCCCGGCTATCGGGACCCTTACCACGGGCGACCACTCACCAAGGGAGAGCTGGGCTGCTTCCTCAGTCACTACAACATCTGGAAGGAGGTGGGTATCGCAGTGAGGCGCCTGGCCTGCAGCCCTCAGTCTCCTCACAGCTTAGGTCAGGCCCAGAGGCCCAGGGAGGGACTGTGGCCCCCATGCTGCCGCCTGCATACCGCAGCAGGACCTGTGGCTGTCCCATGAACTCTTCACGGTGGGGCAGCCACGTGCATTGCACAGATGCAGGCAGGCTGGGGCTGCGAGTGAGGCCTGGGGCTGTGACCCCCAGTGCGACCTCTTCGCATTCCAGCCTGACTCCGCTGCCTGTTTTTATAGACATGATGGCCTCTGGCATTAGTATCGCTGGGCCTTGTGTTAGGGAACAACAGATAATGATGTGCCGTGACGTCATGCAAGAACCAGACTTGGGACCTGCAAATTAGAAGCTGGATGGGTCGGGTATTGACCCCAGATGATGAGGTACAGGAAAAGGGGTGCCTGGATGCCCAAAGTAATGGGTGCTTGCGTGGGCCACCCTTCTTTCCTGAAGTTCCTCATGGGCAATCTGTTAGCTCCACTGGATGACAGTGAAGCCTCCTAGACCGAGGAGGAAGGGTGAGAGGACCTGCTTGTTATTTCCAAGAGGAAGGCTTGATGTCACAGGCAAACAGCTAGTTGTGGAAGGTCGGGGTGCACATTTCCTCCTAACCAGCAGCTCGGGCTGGGTCTTTGTGACCCGGCGGGCCGCCCTCCTTCAGGTGGTAGACCGGGGACTACAGAAATCACTCGTGTTTGAGGACGATCTGCGTTTTGAGATCTTCTTCAAGAGACGTCTGATGAACCTCATGCGGGATGTGGAGCGCGAGGGGCTGGACTGGGACCTCATGTGAGTGGGGGGTTGGTGGAGTGGGTGGAGATGGGGCATCAGCCTGTGGTACCGGCCTGGGGATTGCCAGGGCTCAGAGGCACAGCCTGGGCCTGGGACAGAGCCTGGAGGATATCCGAGCTCTGCTCTCTGTCGGATTGACTTGGTCCTGTCCAATTTCCCTGTGCCAAGTCCTGTTCCCGATGTCTGGGGAGCATTCTCTGGAGGGTGGGGGCATGTAACGAGTCTGCGATTCTTCACCTCAGCTACGTGGGCCGGAAGCGCATGCAGGTCGAGCACCCTGAAAAGGCTGTGCCTCGCGTGAGGAACCTGGTGGAAGCTGATTACTCCTACTGGACGCTGGCCTACGTGATCTCCCTGCAGGGAGCTCGCAAACTGCTTGGTGCCAAGCCGCTGACCAAAATGCTGCCTGTCGACGAGTTCCTGCCGGTCATGTTTGACAAGCACCCGGTGTAAGGAGTTTGTGAGGGAGTGTTTAAGGGGGTTGGGTGGCAGACGGTGGTCTTTGAGTCCTGGAAGGGCAGGGCAGGGGACTGCTGGGCTCTGGGGCTGGGGGCAGTGGGATAAGGCCTCGTGGACTTGAAGGATGGTCTGTTCCTGGCCCCTTGGCCTCCATGTCTCCTGTCTCCCCTAGGTCAGAGTATAAGACTCACTTCTCGCCCCGCAACCTGCGCGCCTTCTCCGTGGAGCCTCTCCTCATCTACCCTACACACTACACGGGGGACGACGGGTATGTCAGCGACACAGAGACCTCGGTTGTATGGAACAACGAGCAGGTTAAGACTGACTGGGACCGAGCCAAGTCCCAGAAGATGCGCGAGCAGCAGGCCCTGAGCCGCGAGGCCAAGAACTCGGATGTGCTGCAGTCCCCACTGGACAGCGCTGCCCGTGACGAGCTCTGAGGCCGCTGCAAAAGGCCACAGCGACCGCCGGGGCCTTCACGCACTTGCCCGGACTCCAGGGCCACCGAGGCAGACCGCCGCGGGCTCTGTAGCGGGCGGTTTCCATGTGTTCTTGCTCGGCCGCTACTTGCACATCGGCAGCATTAATGGAGTGCTTACTGTATGCCTGGGAACGGGGCTGGGCACCGGGAGACTGGGCAGGAGCGAGCCGAGTCCGTTGTGTCCACCATGAAGGACAGTTTCCTAGAGTGTGAAAGAGTAATGATCCTCCCATCAGCAATGGGTTGATCATCAGGCACTTATTGATCAACCTGCCTCAGAGATTAGGGATGCATACTCACTTTTAAATCTGTTGGAGTCTTTATTGAGGGCATACTGTGTATTGGCACCATTCTTAGCTCTGGGAATACTGATATGAGAAAAAATTCAACATGCCAAGCACCTGCTGATGCCAGGTCTTGGGCAACGCTGACTTGAGCGCCTACTGTGTGTGCTCACCAGGTGCTGGGGTAGAGGTCCCAGTGGTACTCACCCCCTAGTGGGCAGGACCGGCTTACAATAGTTAGCACTGCTCACCCCACGTGCCAGGCTGCATGCTGAGTGCAAGGATGGAGAGTGGACAAAATTAGTTTCTTATGTAACAAGCAGTTATTGAGCACCGACTGTGTGCCAGGCCTCGGGACTCCCAGCTGGGTTGAGGAATAGCCACCCTTCAACCTGTCCGTGGAGGACAGCATCTTCCACTTGTCCAGGGGGAGGTTGCTGTCCGCACACCTGACTGCTGGGTTTCAGGGTACTCGTGGCCTTACAAGCCCCCCTGGAGGGGGCGTCATGGGAGCTGGGGCTCCCTTGCCCATCCCGGCTTCCATAGCTTTTCCCTGCTCTTGTGTCTCAGGTGCCCCCTGCCTGCTCTCGTGATTGGGGGCCTTGAAGTGGCCCAGCTGCGTTGGGGTGTCCTCTTGGCCCTGGCAGTGTTTCCCCACAGGGCCGGGGGGTTGCTGTGCCTTCAAAGCCAAATCGAATGTCAGTGGGCAGCAGGTTTCGCTTGCCTGCTCAGATCTTGGTAACTTGCTCACGTTCATATTAAATACTCCTGGTTGGTTTTCACCGAAGCCTGTGGTCTTGCTGCCCTGAGTCCCTGGCCCTACCAGTCAAGATTTGGGGGCACAGCGCGCCTTGGAGGCGTGTGTTGTGCAGACTACTGGGCACTTACGGTATGGGTCTGGATGTATTGGGAATCCCATGTCCCCCCACCCCATAAAGCACCCCCGGGAGTGTCTGGTGGATTGTCCAAGATGCTGTGGGGGCCATCACAGTCTGTTCCCAAGGAGACAGACGCCATATTGTTTGGATTATCAGAGTTCATGGAAGGAGCCTGCCACAGGGTGACAGCGGATGCTGTGGACGTGGAACAGGGAGCTGGTCCCTGGGCCAGTGACAGAACAGGACCAAAGCAGTATGAAGAGGAACTCAAGGCAGGGACTGTGAGGAACCTGCTGGCCAGTGGCTCCGGCTTCCGCTCAGCCTAGGCCCGCTTACCGAGGGAGGGTGCCATTCCTGTCTGCCATGAATCAATAACGTGCCCTATAGACATGGCCACGGCCATCGCCCTGAGTAGAGATGACTGTTGGCTGGTGGAGCTGACAGCTAGAGACAGACAGACGCCCCCGCACCAAGTGCTAGGACTTCTGGGCCAAATCCCACCAGTTCTCAGGGTCCTAGGGCTCCAGCCTGGGATTTGTAAGCTGTCACCGATGGTTTGTGACCACTCTCTGACAAGACTGCTCCCGTCACAGCTAGGGGTGCACGCGGCACTGAGTCATCTGAGCCGTGGTTGGTTTGGGGTGCTGTGGATGTGTTTGCTGGCCAGTGATTACACTTGATCTGGGACAAGGAAAGTCTCCAGTTCGGCCACAGCCTGGTCTGGGGTTGGTCTGCTGCTGCTTAGTTTGTGTGTTTTATTTCGTGTGGGTGTGGGCAGTGCACACGATACAGTGGAGGTCAGAAGACAATTCCCTGGGGTCTTCTCCCGCCGTGTGGGTCCCCAGAATTGAACTCAGTCATGGCAGCAAGCACCTTTACCTCCTGGGTCCTAGCTGAGACTTTGTCAAAGGGGGCACAGAATGCCAGCCAGCACCTGGCGCTGCTTTTTCTTTCTTTTTTTTTAATGTTAATAAAATACTTTTTACAGAGACCAAAAAGTCAGAATAGTGCAGAGCATCTCAACACCATGCACTCATGAACACTCCCGGGTGTTTTGTTTGAACACATGTCCCAAGTTACAGATTGACTGAGAAATGAGGGTTTCTTGGAAGATGCTGGACTAACGGGGTGGACCTTAAAAACCCTCCCAAAAAACAGGAAAGGAAAAAAAAAACAACAACGCTTGGATTCCACGTTTGCAGTCACATGCTAAGAAAGGCCAGTGGGGGGGCTCCCTGGGCTGCACAGGGCGGGGTCAGGAGCTTTCTGGGGTGCAGGGGACCTTCCCTGTCACCTCAGTGTCAACTCAACTCACTCTAAAACAAAAGGCAAAGAGGAGGGAAGGTGGGTCCCTAGAGCCAGCTTTGGTCCTGGAAGATGCTGGGGGTGGGCGGGGCCAGACCGGACCCCCTGGGTCCACCCCCAGCGAGGCCGCCCTTGGGACCCAATAGGTCTGAGGTCCCAGCTGAGAGAGGTCCCAAGGAGTTCTGGGTGCGGTTGATTGTTTTTTGCATGTCTGATGGGGCCCGAGAGGGACCGGGGTGCAGAGGGCGCCCCCTCAAGTGCTGCCTCCTTCCAGACTGGGTGAGCTGACTGAAGGGCCTTTTTAATTTTTCAGGGTTGGGATGGAACCCACAACAGTGCATGACTGGCAGGTGTTGACCATGTCCCGCCACGTCACTGAGGGATTCTAAGTAGGGCATAGATGAGCCTGGACCCCAGATCTTCTCAGCTGCTCCGCCCGCCCCGCCTCCGCCTCCCCTACTCCTGTCCCTCCTGTGGGCGGGGTTGTGGACAGCCTCATAAACTTCCTGCAGCAGGTGAGGCTAGCCCTTCTCCAATCCTCCCTGACCTGTGGAGTCAGGAACTGCACCCGGTTCTCATGCAGGATCCAGGAGCCTGGGTCTGCAGAGGGAGGCGGTGGGAACGCAGACCGCCAGCCCTGGGGAAACTGCCTTGCTGGACATTGCTGTGTCAGGGACGGTCCTGAGATCAGCCTGCCCCTCTGCTCTGTCTCCATCTACTGTGTCCTGGGGCTCAGCCTGGACACCCGCTATGTATGTTGGGGGGGGGACCTGTCAGGATGGGGGAACTGTAAAGACAAAGATGCAGACCCCTCAGCCACTCGACACATAATCCAAGTCGGCATGGTTTTCCTTCTCTTCTGCTGGGGAAGCTTGGGGTTCCCATGAAGCCTCAGCCTGGAGTTGAGGCGACACAAAGCCAGGTACACACCCCAGTGACACCCCAGTGACATCAGGGCCAAGTCAGAGAAGGGGGAGAGAAGCTGGGAAGTCCTTGAACTTTTGCTTTTGTATGGGAGGGGATTTTTGTGATCGGTGTTGAAAGATGAGTAGGTCTCTGGGTAAAGAAAAGGAAATTTCAAACAGTCCTAGCCTGGGTGTCAGAACAATCCACTCGACATTCCCATGAGGTTTCCTCAACATTCTGGGGCCAGAACACACACACACACACACACACACACACACACACACACACACGAGAGAGAGAGAGAGAGAGAGAGAGACAGAGAGAGAGAGAGAGACAGAGAGACAGAGAGACAGAGACAGACAGAGATAGAGACAGACAGAGACAGACAGAGATAGAGAGACAGAGACAGAGACAGAGAGAGATTGATTTTCCCTTCAGTCACACAAACCCCCATTGACATTCTTGCCAGCAATTTAGAAACTTTCTATGGCTGGTCTCTGGCCAGACCCCGCCCCCTTAGCCGTGTCTGATGTCTAAAGCGTGAGTCACTGCCCCCCAGCTCCAGTGCCATCCGGACTGCCAGTCCCCACAACACACTACGGATGCAGTCTGAGCTCCCCTGTCCCTGGACGGAGCCTGCATCCCACCCTTTGGTTCTGAGTGCCCTGTCCCAGATCGTCCATCTGCACAAGCACAGGACACTCAAATGCACGTCATCTTCTCCCTCCAACCTCCTAGTCTCTGGCCTCTTCCTGGTCTTCCCTGCTTGGATTTGGAGAACGGACAAGGGGGTGGGGGCGCCTGGCTCCAGGGAAACCCCGGACCCCTCTTCTTGACGGGACTCTAGGTTCTAGGCGGGTTCGGACTGAAGTCCCAGGAGGGAGGACAGGGATCGTGATTGGCAGCCTGAGGGTTCACCGGGGACCCCGGCCCGGGGGCCCTCGGGGAAGAACTGGGGAGAAGGGTATTTAGCAGCGATGGGGGCCGGGCCATCCGTCGGCGCTCAGCCCACCGTGCGTGGCACGAGCAGGGGTTCTCCAGCTGCCAGTGGGTGCTGCGCTGAGGGCCGGGTCCGCGTGGAGGGGCGCCCTCGGCCCGGGTGTGCGCCCGAGGGAGGGCGCGTGTGCTTTTGAGAGCCCATCCGCACTGTTTCCTGCACAGACACCAGAGGCTGCGTCCCGGCCTCCCAGGCAGCCCTGCCAGCCCATGCCCTGGGCACCGGACCCTCTATGGCTTTTCCAGGGGCAGGAGGCAGGGCCTCCCCAGCCAAGGCCACTGAGGTGGAGGGGCGTGGCCTCTGGAGAGGGCGGGGCCTACGGGGCGGGGCCTTGTCGGTTCCCAGGCCCCGCCCCACCCTAACTCGCGCTAGGGCGCGGGCGCGGCCCCGCCCTCCTCGGCCGAGCGCGTGTCCGATTTGAGCTTCACGAACTCCTTGGCCACCTCGTCGTTGCTGCGCTGCGACAGGATGCGCAGCACCGTGAGCCCCGTGTCGTCCATGTGGATGCGGCGGCCGAGCGGCAGCCAGCACGCGGCGCTCCCGCGCTGCGCCAGCTCCCGCAGCTGCAGCACCGCCAGCCCCACCGTCCGGTCCTCGCGCGCGAAGCAGTAGTCCTTGACGCACACCTGCAGCTCGTAGCACTCGGGGCCCGCGTCCGCGCTCAGGGAGCTGTGGGGAGGGGCCGGCTCAGCCAGGGGCACCAGCGAGCCCGGCCCCCCGCGCCCCCGCGCCCAGGAGGACCAGCGAGCCGCCACCTTAGCAGTTAGTGCCCCTCGGAGGCGGGCGAGCAAGCCCCTCCCACCCCGCCGGCCCCTCCCACCTCGCCGGCCCCTCCCATCCCGATGGCCCCTCCCACCTCGATGCCCCCTCCCATCCCGATGGCCCCTCCCATCCAGATGGCTCCTCCCACCCCGCTGGCCCCTCCCACTTCGCCAGGCTCTCCCACCTCTATGGCCCCTCCCATCCCGATGGCCCCTCCCACCTAGCTGGCCCCTCCTACAGGGAGCCCCCACTAGGCCACGCCCACCTGGAGCCCACCGCTCAGACGGGATCGTCCCGGCGCATCAGGTGGGGCGGGCTGCTGGGGACCCCACTGCCCACTGAGCCGCACAGCCCAGGAGCTCCAGTTCGGGCCCCGCCCACACCCCTCCGGCCCCTCCTCGGCCGAGCCCAGCCCTCTCTTGACCGCGCCCCCTCCCAGTGCTGCGCCCCGCCTTCTGCTCGGCTCTCTCCATCCCCCCACCCCCGTGGCCCCGACTCCCTCCCGCCCCAGGACCCCGCCCTGCGGCAGGCACACAACCCTCAGGGCCGACTTCTTTAAACGACAAAGCCAATGGCCGGAGCAGTCCGGACCCCGGGACCCCACTCCAGTGCCCAAGACCCGCTTGCCCACCCTCCGCTCGTCCTTTCTGCCCCACCCCACCCCCAAGCCTAGGACGTCCCCAGGGACCTGCCGGCCTCACCTGGACCCTACAGTCCCCTCTCCGTCACCTGCACCCCGGGGTGGCTCCTCCCACCGGCCCGCGCCCTCCGGCGACACCCTCGACTCACAACTGGAAGCTCTCGTTGTATTTGGGTGCCCAGCTGTTGTTTTTGGATTTGGTGGCGAACTTGCGTTTCTTGTCGCTGAGCTGAGGTCCAACAATGTTGACCTCGATGAAGGGACGGAAGATGCCAGAAGTCTGCCACTTGAGGTCGTTGGCAGCCACCACTGTTGGGGGAAACGGGCAAGTCTGGTGCGGCTTCCCAGGGGGACAGAACGACTCTGGCTTCCCAGGGGGACAGAACGACTCTGGCTTCCCAGGGGGACAGAACGACCCTGGCTTCCCAGGGGGACAGACCGACTGGCTTCCCAGGGGGACAGAACGACTGGCTTCTCAGGGGGACAGAACGACTCTGGCTTCCCAGGGGGACAGAACGACCCTGGCTTCCCAGGGGGACAGAACGACTCTGGCTTCCCAGGGGGACAGAACGATGCCCTGGCTTCTCAGGGGGACAGAACGACTCTGGCTTCCCAGGGGGACAGAACGATGCCCTGGCTTCTCAGGGGGACAGAACGACTCTGGCTTCCCAGGGGGACAGAACGGTGCCCTGGCTTCCTGGGCTGAGGAAATGGACTCCATTCCCCAGGAAGTCTAACAGGAAGGAGGCCAGGCCAAGACTGAGGGAGACACAGTGATCCTGGGACGCGGCTGGAATTCAGCCATGCCTGAAGCAGTTCACCTCAGGATCCCCCATTTTCTATACCATTAAAGGGAAAACAATTCCCTGACCCCGTGGCTTAAACGAGACTGTTTGGTTCCCTCCGTCGCCCGGCCACTCACCCTTCACCGTGACTTTCTGTTCCCCAGTTCCCGGGTGCGTGAAGAGCTCCACGTGGACGGACACTTCACCTACAGGGTCTTCCACCCCCGAGCCTGGGGGGGACAGGGGAAGATGCCGGATATGAGCTCCGTTCTTCCTCACCCACCGGAGGGACCTCAGTCACCTCCCTCCACCACCATGTGCTGGCGGCACCAGGTCGCTGAGGCCCTGAGGGCACCAGGGTGCCACCGGGGAGCCAGGGGTGCTAGGTCGTGGGTTCCATCGCTTCGCTGTGCGGCTCGAGGCCGGTCCCTAACCTCTCTGAGTCAGGGCGTCTGCCTTATTTCTCCTCCGTTCCCCGCCTCCTGAGCCTGCTTCTGTCCCCTGAAGGCTGCGCCTCCCCGGCTTTTCTCCCTCTCCTCTTCTGTGTCCATCCAATCCCTTGAGCTCATCCTGGCCCTGGGTGCTGGGACTCAGACAAGTCCTGACCGCGCTGTCTTCAAAACACATCTGGAATCTGCTGGTGTGTCTGCCCGACCCGGTCCAGCTGCCGCCCGGGCCGTCGCAGTGTGCGCTGCCCTGGTTTGGCTCCTCGGCCACGCTCGGCACAGTGGCCAGAGACCCAGCAAGTCCATCCTGCTCCCCATCTCCTCCCGAGAGCTGCGGCCCACAGGCTGCTCCCCAGCCCTCAGGCC